CATTTAACCTACTGACCTACAAATAGGCACAATGATCCTATCTCTAGTACCATCACTTAAAGGGCTTCATATCCCTCAACCATGACTGAATGGGATATCTTCTCCATTTTCTTCTTCTGAATTCTTATTCCCCCTAATATCTTCATATCCCCTATAAAAAAAGACTGATCAATTATTTAATCTTCACTGATTTGCGATTCTCTATCTAAACTAAAAGGAGTGAATCGTCAATGATCGAAGAGATAATTTTTTTCATCAACAATATATATATATATATATATATATATATATATATGAGTTAAGATCCACTTAGGTATTTTAAATTCTTAAGTTTTACACGTTTTTTAAATCGTTGTATTAACTTAGTTTAATGGATGTGATTAAAGTTTTTAACTTATAAAGATTCTTATTTCCTAGTGTTAGTCTCGAACATAAAGACGTCAGTGGGGCGTATTTCGTAGCGATCCAGCCCACTTTACACCCAATTGGATAAAAATGAGTATATATTTCGTTAGCGGTCGGGTTTAATCTTGTGAGTCGCAAGGCGAGGATGATTTCAAGTTTTGTGCCACAATGTATCACGAGATGGAGATGAGAATGAAAATTCTTAACATGAATAGTATTTTATAACTTTTAATAGTCAAAAAATTTAATAAAATATTATCCTATAATCGGAGTTCATTTGCGTTCTTTACCCAAAAAAAAAGTCAATTTAACTTCAAGAAAAGTAGAAAAACATTACCCTATAAAAAGCAATGAATATGCATGATGTATTATCTTAGTCATCCACGTCTTGAAAAGGTTTAATATATTTTTAGGGGCCTAAACTATACTTTAAAATTAATTTTTGGTGTCTAAAGAATTTTTTTTATTAAAAATATATGTCTAATGTTTTCTCTGTTATAATTTTAAGTGTCTATCATTAAACAAAATTAAATGACGCGTGTCACATTTATATTTTTTTAATTTTTTTAAAAAATAAAATATCATTTAAAAATATTTTTAAAAAAAAAATTGAATGTAACACGTGTCACTTAACGGCTTTCTAACAATAGACACCTAAAAATACTACAGAGAAAACATTAAATACCTAATTTTAACAAAAATAATATTTAGACACCAAAAATAAATTTAAATTATAATTTAGACGCCTGAAAATATATTAAGCCTCCTCAAAATGATGTGCTTTAACTTCTCCCCTGTACGTACGAAACCTGATTTTCAGTTTGAGATAACTGAATTTTCAAGCAATAATTTAACTCGAAAACGACTTTAGACGGAATTCAATGAATTCAAATTTTAAATTTAATTTTAAATATATATTTAGTACTTGACTTAAATATATCTTTTTAAATTGGTATTTAAAGAATTTTTATTCTCATGTTGGCATCAATCTTTTAATTTCATACTCTGTTTGGTATTTTTAATAGTTCATTTCGAAATCTATTTTTTTTTAAAACATGATGACATCATCATTAATATGCGATACAATCTTATATTATCACGTCGTTAAAGACTAATGCTATTACTTAAAGTATCGAAACATTGGATGAAATTAAAGTTCGTTACTATTATCACGTCGTTAAAAATTAATACAATCTTCAGCTCTCAAATAAAAAATAATTACACGTACTTAAATACACTCAATTTGTTTTTGTTCACATTAGTTTTTGAACTTGAATTTTTGGTTATGGCACAACCTATGAGTGTCGGTTCATCAAAAGGATCAAAGAGGAGAGAAGTTTTAGCGGACTAATGTGAACTGAAAAAAAAATTAAGGACCAGGCCGAGAATAATTGTCAAGTTCAAGGACTAAATAGTTCATCATCCCATAAATAAAAGAGAGAGAACACGGCCATGGATGTTTCAAAAAGGCCGAATTTATCCACAACAAGCAATCATTTATATCTTCCCCCCTCAAAAGGGAAAGAGAAACAAATATCAAAGAGAAGAAGGCAAAGACCTTGCAGGTTTGCAGCAATGGTGGTGCAGAGATTAGAGTTTTGCATGGAGTTAGTGGAACTCGCCATAAAGCTCGTCATTGCCGTGGCCGAAGCCGTCGGGAGAGCGTTTAGTGAAAGCGGTAGCCGACGAGCGGTCATGAGGACGACGGGTGGCCGGTCTTTCCCAGTTCCGGTTCGCTTTGGCCTGGTTGGCCTTGTTCGATGGGCTTAGGCAGGATGAGTAGGGGCGGTCACACTCTAAAATTTTAAAATTATTGTATATTTTAAATTTTTTTCTATGTAATATCATTGAAATTATGTTTTCGCCCCCTAAAATTTTATAAGTTCAAGTTCACCCTTGAAGTTTTATAAGTTTATGTTCGTTTCCCTAATATAAAATCTTGAATCCGTCTTTGATTTTGTTTGAAGTGCTCCATTTTTTTTCTGGGTGGAAACAAATGGTATTTGTAATATGCTGTTCTTAATTTCTTTGTAAGCGAGGTAGGTTTTGGAATTTGAGGGTGTTAATGCAAGTTATTTTGGATTTAGGGCTTAGTTTGTAAAATTTATCATTTGAGTGTATCGATATTTTTTTCTCTCTCTACTATTCAAACGGATATTTAAATTTTGGTTAAATGACACGTTTAGTACTTACTCTATCAATTTTATTTCATTTTAGTACCTAAACTTTCTATTTTTTCAAAATCATACCTATGTTTTTGTTTCATTTTAGTACTTGCCGTTAAAAACTTCAGTTTTTGTTTTGTTTTAGTACCCCTACAAGATTTAACGTTAACTTTTGAAAAAAAATTGAAAGTTTAGATACTAAAACGGACCAAAACTGATAGTTTAGATACTAAATGTGTTAAGTTTTTAACGGCGATGTACTATAAAGAAATTTAAATTTTGGGTAAATGACACGTTTAATACTTAAACTATCAATTTTATTTCATTTTAGTACCTAAACTTTCTATTTTTTCAAAATCATACCTATGTTTTTGTTTCATTTTAGTACTTGCCGTTAAAAACTTCAGTTTTTGTTTCGTTTTAGTACCCCTACAAGATTTAACATTAAGTTTTGGAAAAAAATTGAAAGTTTAGATACTAAAACGGACCAAAACTGATAGTTTAGATATTAAATGTGTCAAGTTTTTAACGGCGATGTACTATAAAGAAATTTAAAACTAAATGCTAGGTATGATTTCACTAACATGCTTTGATTAACAACAGTCATCTTTGATCGTTACAATATAAATGTGACGATATGCATTATTAATATTGCAATCTATAGTACTAGCATGCTCGTTCATACTTGTTAAACATGAGATTTCACATTATTTCATAAAGCTGTCAATTTTCACATATTCTTTACGTATGCTAACATGCTCGAATTTAATACATCATTGGAATTTCATATGGAAACATACCAAAAACTTTAGTTTTAATTTTCAAAACTATGCAGAGGAAAAACCCTAACCGCTCTTCACCCTCTCCTTTTCTTTTTCTTTACAATTTGTATCATTTTCTATAGATTGAATTAACTTTTTCTTTTTTGATTTTGTTTATCCGGTGACGACTCCAGTTTTGATATTAGTTACCGACCGTCAATTATCTTTTTTCTTTGTTTATTTTTTTTAGTTTTTTAATAAGAATATCTCTGTCTTTGTGACACATTTATTTATACCTTTTGGTAATTTTCGATTTTTTGGCCGTTGTTTTCATTTATCTTTTTTCTCAGAGTTGGATTTGACATGGTCACGACTGATCAAGATGACACTTATTTGTTATCATGCTGATATTCCCTACTTTTGACCCTCGAGATTGATTTGGATACGCGTTTTGCGTTCGTGGATAATTTTCTCACGTCGCTCAACTCAGATTTGCGATGTGTTGGTGGCCTTTCAATAGCTTCATCCTCTTTTGTGGTTTGTTTCCGATGCAGTCATATTTGTTTGTATCTTTATTTTGTTCTAACTTTTTGGTTAGGCATTTTTAACATTTTCCTTCTTCTTTGGCCCTTATGTGATCTAAGTGGCTAGTTTTTGTCTCAATGGTAATAAGAAAATGTCATAATTATATTTTAGATTTACGGTTATACTTGTAAATCTTCATTGTAATTTTAAACATTTTCTATTTTTAATAAAACCAATGATTTTCTATAATAAAAAAACAAAACTCAATACCAATTTTCAAAAAAGTAGCTTCCTTTAGCCCAAAAAAACCCTAAAACGTTTCTTATTCAACAAGCAACTCAAATGGGTAATCTTCAGCGTCAAACATGCATCAAATCCTCAACATACAAGAAGGTATACATCTAATTGATCCACATACAAACTAAAAAAAACATTCGAACTTATCATTTTAGAACATTTTAAAAGGTTATCAAATGTAGTTAATAATTCACGTAGTTTAGGCTTCTAAAGCTTCAATCACCATGCATTTCAATAACCATTACTCGTTTTGAAACCTAAAACATGCTTGTTAAACCATTTACGTGTAATATCTTACCAACCTTACATCAAGCACATATAGCTTAAATGCATAAACCTAGAATCATGACACTAGCGTAACCAAATATAAAAATACATAGTAAATACCCTCTGGAAGATTCATCCACCAAAACCAGTTGTGTAACATGAGCCGGTATGAAATAGTCGGGACAAAGCCCTGAGAAATCAAGAGGACAAAGATATTATAGAGGATTTTCATGTACTTAAGGTTCATGTTCGAGTTCGAGTTGAGTTTCAATTTTTTTTTATTTCGAATGATGCTTGGAAATTGTAAGCTCGCGAGCTTTCGAGTCGAGCTTCAATTTTTTATTTCGAGTTTGATAATTTTAAGATCGCAAGTTTTCGAGTTAATTCCAACTTAATTTTGAAATTTTTGAATCTAATCGAGTTCAACAATACACAAATTCAACTGGACTCGTTTACGACACTAACTAAATATTTATGCCTTTCAAAGTTCATTTTTTTAATGGAGATTCATATATATAAGAACATCCCTCGCAATTAGATTTCATTTTTTTAATGAAAATTGAACTTGTTTACATGGCCTCTTTTTTTTGTTATACACGAAAGGAAGAATATGCAGTATAATATAACTAAGGATGCAATGAGTTATATTATTTAGTATCCCGGAAACATTGGCGGAGGTGGCGATGAATACTGGAATCCCAAGTTTGGAGGGAGGGTAATGTCCGGTTTAGGTGGAGGTGGTGAGTGGACGGGTGGCGGTTGTGAGTGAACCAGTGGTGGTGGTGAGAGAACTGGGGGTGGAGGAGAATGGACGGGTGGTGGTGGGGAGCGAACTGGCGGGGGTGGTGGTGGTGAGTAGACGGGTGGTGGGGGTGAGAGGACTGGAGGAGGTGGTGGTGGAGAGTAGACTGGTGGTGGGGGTGAGAGAACTGGAGGTGGTGGGGGTGGAGAGTAGACGGGTGGTGGTGGTGAGTAGACAGGCGGAGGTGGTGAGTAGACTGGAGGAGGTGGAGAGTAAACTGGTGGTGGTGGAGAGGCGACAGGCACGGGCGGAGGTGGCGGAAATACCGGTGGCTTTGGTGGTGAAGACACTTTGCTGCACTTATCTTTACTGCAATCCACCGGATTACTCACAACCGGTTGGCACTCTTCGGCCGATTTCTGTTGCGGCTGATCAGCCAAACAATTAACGGCGCCGTCGAATACGATGTTCTTCCCCGGTGCCGCTCGGCAGGCATCGGCTTCATCTTGGAAATAGTTGCGAGAATATGTGAAATTCTCCAACTTTGGCAACTTGCAAACAGCTTCAGGCACCGTTCCGGTAAGCTTATTACCGGAAATATCCAGGAATTCTATGCTCTCCATGCCGGAAATTGTCTCCGGCAACGAGCCGACGAAATTGTTCGAGCTTACATCAAAGACCGTCACTTCCTTTAGCATCCCTAATTCCGGTGGGAAGCAACCGCCGAGGTTATTATTCAAAAACAATATCTGATTCAAGTTCTTCATATTACCGATGCTACGCGGAATGCAACCTTCGAATTTGTTATTAGCGAACACCACGACCGACACCGTCGACGTGCCAATCGTGTCGGGGATGGTCGACGTGAACCGATTGTTGTTCAAAAACAAGGCGTCCAATGGTTTCTCGAAGAGCTCCGGTGGTAGTTGTCCTTCAAAGTTATTGAACCTTAGGTCAATGTACCTTATCGAGGGCCATGTGAGTACAACTTCAGGGAAAGGGCCAACGAACCAGTTGTTACTTATGTCAAACTCGTACATAATTGTCATCTTAGACAATGTCTTGGGCACAATCCCACAAAACCTATTGCTATTTAGATGGATCAACGCAACATCGGCCAACATTGCCAGTTCGGCCGGGAGGTGCCCGGCGATATCGGCATGGTTGAGATCGACCCCCGCTACGGTCGTCAAGTTCTTGTCATCCAACGCTTGTGCGCAAAATACGCCGTTGTAAGCGCACACGTCGGGTCCAACCCAGTTGCCGGTTTTATTTAGAGGATCCGAGTATATAGCATTTTTCAAGGCTTGAAGGCCAATGAAAGCTCTCTTAAGCCTATGGTTTGCAAAAGTCTCCGTTACTTTAACCTCGTACTCGACTTCGTCCGGTAGCTCATCGTTCGGGGGAAGGCTATTAAGCTGACGGTGAACGATGAAAGCTACCTCGTCGTCGGTCAATGCGAGGACGGATGTAGATAACGAATAGAAAATACAAGAAAATAAGAGAAAGCCGCCAAAGGCATACAATCTATGAAGGCTAGCCATCCTTGATGTACTAGGATGGCCTTGGAAGATTGATGAGAGGACCCATTGATGGGAGGAGGTTTATATTGAGGGAACATAATAGGGTATGGTTTCAACGACCATTGAGAAGTTTATGGGATGTTTGGTCTTGTTTTATGTCCGAAATTGTTGGTTTCATTTAGACACCATACAAATTTTGGAGGTCACCCTTGATTTTAGAGACAAATACTGTAAGCCCTTAATAGAAAACAAGCAAAACCAATTGAACACATTTAGACGTCCGAAATCATTAAATTTATCAAAATGTGTTAGTACTATTTATTACATTAAAAGGATCATTTGTAATAGTTTGATAAGTTTAATAACCATTTTGTAACATTTGAAAATTCGATGGTTAAAAAAATACTTTACCCTTACATAAGATGCATGGCACCTGAAAACTTCGATCTTGTAAAGGTCACCCGTAAGCGCATCATCGTCCCTGTAAACGACCACTGTATCACCGGAATTTGCTGGGACATGGGGGTTAGGGTTTTATGTTGGATTTGTTTTATGATTAATTTTTATTTTATTATATAAAAATCTTACGTGGTTGGGTTTTAATATTAAAACAAGTCACGTCAACTAAATGTTAGTGATTTAACGGTAGGGCGATAAAAAATTTAATATTTAAAGTTGAGTGAATAAATTAAAATTTTTGAAAATATGATGAGTAAAATAAGAATCGCATGAAAATTTAGTTATCAAATTTGTAGTTTACCCATAAAATCAAGGATTGTTCTAGCTTAAAACACGGTTGGTCCTATCGCGCGATCTCGGGTGATACTTCGTTTTTATCGAGCGGCCGACTAAAACGATAATCGAGAGTTCCCTACGTGGAATTAGGATGGGAATGAATCGGATTGAATCGAATTTATTCAACCTGAATTTAATTTAAAATTTATATACCCTCTAGTATTTAATTCGTCCTTTTAAAATAAAATTTGAATTCGATTGATTCTATCTGAAATAATATATTTAGAAGAAAATATTACTTCTATTTAATAAAAAATAGAAATTTAATTGAAAAAAATCATAAAAGTTTTGTTGCAATTCTCTATATCAGGTCGAATATTTTTCACCTTAAATTTGAATTCTTAAGAATCTGAACCTATTTTTTAAAAAAAAAAATCGGATTCAATAAGATTAGATCGGATTCAAATTCGGGTCCGGTGTAGATCGGAATCGTTAAATTCATCTCTCGTGAACTTACTTTCCCTTGTTTTTATTGATTTTCCCCTTTCTCTTCTTGAATGCCACTGATAACAATCAATCCACTCTTCATATGAATTCGAATTTAGTTTTTTCAGTTCATAATTTTCATTAGCAATTGAAACCTGAAAATGGGTTTTTGAAGAATGTTGATACCATCAATCACTCTTCACTTTCTGTACAGATTCAGATACCCAAAGCTCTCACCTTTCAGCCATGGAAGAACACAAAAACAGGGGAAAATATCGTCTTCTCTTCCATTTCATACAATTAAAACAGACGAAATGTACAATCCAAAAAATAATCTCTTTAATCATAAATTTCTTTTGTGTGAACGAAACTCGAAGACTCATGGCACCTGAGAACTTCGATCTTGTAAAGTGCACCCGTAAGCGCATCATCGTCCCTGTAAACGACGATCGTATCACCGGAGTTGAGCTGTCTGAACCGAACAAATTGGACCCAACCGTAAACGATGTCGAGTTTCGGGACGACCCCGGCTCGAATCACGCAACGGAAGTTCCATAAGATGCCCACATCATCCATGACCTGCAACTCTTTGCCATGCCCACCGTGGGACTCCGGTAGAGCTTTTAAGCAACCGTCTGGTAACGATAATGTTCTCTCCACGTCCATTTTTGTAAGAACTTTGAAGAAAAGCGCCATAGAAGATGATTTTTTTTTTGTTGGTTTTGGCTTTGGAGTAGTGAGAAAACAACAGGATTGAGCTTGATATATATGCCTGTGTGTCAGCTCGTCCAGAACGAGTTATCGTGCGAGTACGGGGTTTTGTCGAGATTATTAAAGGTCTCGGCTATGGAGGGCCCATGGGAAAAAAATCATTTGAAAAAGAAGAAAGAATCAAAGATTGGTTTTAGAAAAGGTTTTTCTTTTCATGTCGTCTTCATGGGTGAGAGGGGACTTGTAGGAAAACTGAAAAAGAAAAGGATTTCATGCTTTCGCTCGAGACCACCATTTTAAGCTACCAGACGCAAACGGGTTCACTTGCTGTCGCGCGCGCCCCATTCTTTTCTTTTTTTTTCTCCTTGAATCTTACTTAGGGATGGTGATTTAATTCAAAACCGACGAATTTTGATTTGACCTAATCCGGTAGAATTAGATTTTTTTTAAAAAAAAAAATTAAGTTCAGATTAGGTTAAGACGAATTTTTTAAGGGAGTTTAAGGAAATGAGGTCGGGTCAAGTCGGGTTAAGATGAAGGGTGAAAAAATTCTAATCCGAATCGACCCTGATATAATAATGTAATTTCTTTAAAAATTATTTTTTAATTAAATCTTAGTTTATACTCAGGTCGGATTCATACTCTAAAAATTTGAATCGGATCAAAGTCGGGTGAAAGATATATATTTTTCGAGTTGGATAAGATCGAGTAGATGATATATAATTTTTAGGTCAGGTTGAGTTCAAGTAGAGAATACATATCCTTCTAGTCGGATTAACCAAAAACCTAAACCGTAGTCATCCCTAATCTTACACCATAGTTGTATGACTTTGGATTTGAAAAATAATTGTGAATTTTCGAATTTGTTTTGTGTGTATTGGAATAATTTACAGATGACAATAAAAAAGGGTAAAGTATACAAATGATCTCTTGATTATAAGGAGTTGTTTTGTTGAGTCCTCTGACTATTAACAGTTACAAAATGGTCCCTCGACTATAGGATGTTACTTTGTTGTGTCCTCTAATTATAAAAAGTTACAAAATGGTCACTCGCCTATTCATTATGTTCTAAATTCATCATTTTTCATTAAAAATAATGATAGTTTGAGCTAGATGTTAATTTGTTGTTTGAGATATGATAGAATTTGATCCTAGAATCTTAAACAACTATCTTATCTCATATGATAGATTAACATCCAATTCATATTACCATTAATTTTTAATGGAAAATGATAAGTTTGGAACATAATGAATAATTGAGTGGCCATTTTGTAACTTGTAATATTCGAGAGACTTAACAAAGTAACATCTTATAGTTAGAGGATCATTTTATAACTTTTAATAGTCGTGGACTCAACAAAGTAGTATCTTATATTTGAGGACCATTTATATACTTTAACCTAAAAAAATATTGTTAATGTTTTGATCAAGTATTTATTTTTGTTTTTGTTTTTGGAGCATTTTAGCTTCTAGCATTTTATTTTGAAGTAAAATGTTATATATATGTGATCATATAATTATATAAAGGGTAAACTATAAAAATAGTCATAAAGGTTTGAGTAAGTTTTCATTTTCCCCACTAAAATTTTAAAAGTAACAATTTAGTCACTAAAGTTGTCGATTTGTTACAAATCGGTCAGGCGAAATTAACGACTGTTAATATGACTGACGGAAAGCTTACATGGCACGTTAATCTCTTATCTGGACCATTGATCGCTACGTTAAAGAGTTTGACTGACACTTTAAATGAATTAAAGGTGAAAAGGGGAAAAAAGACATATTCAGCCAAGTTTTATATGCCACCGACAACAATAATTGTACTGTTAACAATCTAAGGAAAGTAAAATCTAATCGGAAAAATATTAGACCAACAATCTTCGGTGACCATTTACCAACTCTTTTGACATTCATTAGCCTTTTTTCCTATAAATTATTAGTGCTCAATAATACTTAGGTGGCAGAGCCGACCATATATCATTCAAACAGCAAAGTTGATCATATATCAATCAGAAGGTATAACCAACCATATATCAATCAGGCAGCAGAGCCGACCATATAATAAAACTTAACAAGTGCACTAAGAACTTAAGTCAAACTAAGGCTTAATTGGAAAACTTAAGAGAAGAGAATACTTTTATTAATACAAAAAGACAATTACAATATTACACCCTTACCCCACTAACTTTCTCTTCTCTACCTCTAAGCTCTCCCCCTAACTCACACTTTGTTATTTTTTTACACTTTCTCACACTTACTATAACGATAAAAACTCATTCCTATTTATAGATTCTGATGGTCATTGGATTGTTGACACATATCAACTTCTTAGCCATTTAATATTATAAATATAAAATTCTTCTAATAGGTAATTCTAGATATAATATTAAATATTACAAATATCTAAATTATTTTATGATACTTCTACACATATATATTATTTCCATATTATTCTAGAACATTCTTAATATATATATATATACACACACTAAATGACACTTGTATATATTTCTTTAGGATTTGCATTGACTTCTAACATATGGTAATTGCATGATATTGATATTCGAATGAGTTAATGGTTTTTTATGGAGACCAAATTGATACACAAACCCAAATCTAATACCTAAAATTGAAACTTTCTAAAGTTTAGAAACAAAATTGATGTACAAATTAAAGTTCAAAGGTAAAAATCGACTACGTCATCACATCACCGTTAACGATTAAAGACCCAATGCCCAAATTGAACCTAAAACTAAAACTCGATGCTAAAATTGAAGCAATTTAAAGTTCCATAATTAAAATGATTCACAACATAAAGTTCATATTCAGTTTATCCTAAATATAAAATAAAAATGAATTTAATTTCTATTAAAGCCTTAAATTTAGAGTAAATTACATAAATGATCATTGATTTTTGAGTAAATTTTTATTTTCTCCACTGGTGTTTTAGAAGTAAAGATTTAGTCATTAACATAATTTATTTATAACAAATTGATCATTCAACTGTTAACAATCGTTATTGGGATAACGTAATGCTGATGTGACACATTAAACTAATTAACCTATGAGGCTTATTTAGGCCTAGGCCTACTTAGACTATGGCC